ACATAAGGTGCTTCCTTTTTAAAGCCCAAAATTATAAATATCTTTTGCAAGTATTTTAGCTCTGAAAGATCTCAAAATTTATATCAACTTTGTGGTTTTCCTAAGTCCAATGCAATTTCTTGAAATATGAGCCTTACTCTTAAGAATTAGTTGAGTAAACTTTGTGGTTTTCCTAAGTCCAATGCAATTTCTTGAGATATGAGCCTTACTCTTAAGAATTAGTTGAGTAACACTTAAGATACCCTTGAGTTATGCATGCTTTAAGACGTCTAAATAAGTAAGTCAATTACACATATTTTTAAAATTTTCAAATGCAATTTGATGTAAATTTCATATTAAATTCATGGTTTAAATTTGTGCAAGTCTATAAAGCTTATAAAACTCTTCAAGATATTCAAATACATGGATTAAGCTTATATGTGCTCCATCAAAATGAACTAAGTATTTAAATTTAAACAATCTGAGAATGCTGTGCGGGTTAAAGTTAAACTTGCTCTCAATAGTTTTTGCTCTAATAAGCATACAAAAGTATATTGAGAAAATTTATGGTTATTCTAAAGTTAAAACTCCTCATATTTTGTAATCAAATTCAAGACAAACTATGCACTCAAACCGTCTTGTCTACAAGACAAGGATGTAAGTCTCATCCAACTAGTCCAATCCACTTCACAAGGAATGGAGTTACCGAGTCTAGTAAATTTAACAATAAACGACCAAATCATAAAGAAAAAAACTTGCAAGTCAAAATCACCAAGTCCAAACATCCTCTTTATAAGAACATGAGTCGATAGGACTTATATCCTAAAAAGCCTTAACTAACAAGCTCAAATGACCTTCAAATATAAAAGTATTAAATATTTAAATTCCCGACGATGGTCGTGTTAACTGAAAATTCCAACCGGAGGGGTTTATTTTCAAGTGACACAGACACAGACACAGACACAGACAGATACACAGATATATATATATATATATACAACGATGGGTCTTCTTCTTCGCTCTGCTAGGGTTTCAGCTCATTGCGAACCCTAGCTCGAAACAGACATATGTTTTCGCTAGCTCGTTTCGATCCTTTCCGTTTTCGTATTCGGCTCTGGCTGACAGAGGTGTTCGCGTCGTCGAGCCTACTCGCCTGCTGCGTCGTCGCATCATCGAGCCTGCTGCGTTGTGCCTTCTGCATCGTCTTCTCTTGTCTATCACGTCGTCTGTGGCTCGCGTTTGCGGCACTTCGCGTTGCAGGTTTGTTAAGGCAACTCGACTGCTCCGCTACAATTTCTGCTCTACTGCTCGACTGCTCGCGTACCAGTTGCACCATTTGCTACAGTGCTTGTATGAAGCATGCTAATGAACTCAGGGTTTTCCTACATTGTTGTCGTCGCCGGTGATAATCCCGCCAAACCCTCCTATGCTACAGTGGTTCATAAACGCAACTTCCCTTTCCACCTCGCAGATAGTCTGGTATTCCTGCAGATATACTACGATTCTTTTGCAGAAAATGACGATTGCAATCTCATAAAAAAAGTAGAGTAAAAGGCGGGCAAACTAGCAATATTCTTCTCTAACGCTGAAATTTTAACTCGTGCAGGAAAATACTAATTTACACTACTTGGAAAGTTCCAATTAGGTTGCCCTAAGATAGAGATCATCAAGAAGGTCTATGAAGATTTCAAAGTGGTTGGGGATTGACAGGTGGGTCATTTCGACGGAAGACATATTATGATACAGCTGAACATAGAAAAAAATTACACGAGGATTTTCTCAAAAAAATTCATCACAGTCAAGGGAAAACATATGAAATTGCTTAAATGGACCCCTAAATTTGATCCCAGTCAAGAACCTCCAATTGCACCTATCTGGTTTTCATTACTTGAACTCAAGCTTCAATTCTTTGACCAACCTATCTTATATGCAATTGGAACTATCCTTAGAAAACCATTGCAAGTAGACTTACATACAGTTCATTTCTCAAGATCCTCTATTGCAAGGATTTTGATTGAAAGAGATGTTACACTACCAGATGTAGAAGAAATCTGACTTAGATCTGGTCACAATGGTTATTGACAAAAAATCATTATGGAACAAAAACCTTACTACTGCAATCACTGCAAGATGTTTGAATACCCGCAGGAGAAATGTTTCGAATTGCACCCACAGTTGAGAACCAATAATCAAAAGCAGGAAAATTGCTTAAATGGACCCCTAAATTTGATCCCAGTCAAGAACCTCCAATTGCACCTATCTGGTTTTCATTACCTTAACTTAAGCTTCAATTCTTTGACCAACCTATCTTATATGCAATTGGAACTATCCTTAGAAAACCATTGCAAGTAGACTTACATACAGTTCATTTCTCAAGATCCTCTATTGCAAGGATTTTGATTGAAAGAGATGTTACACTACCAGATGTAGAAGAAATCTGACTTAGATCTGGTCACAATGGTTATTGACAAAAAATCATTATGGAACAAAAACCTTACTACTGCAATCACTGCAAGATGTTTGAATACCCGCAGGAGAAATATTTCAGATTGCACCCACAGTTGAGAACCAATAATCAAAAGCAGGAATCTAATGTGCCTGAGCACTCTCTCAACAAACCTGATGACAACCAACCTGAGGAGGGAATGAAGGGAATCACCACAAGACAGGAGTTGGTGTCTACCCCTGGGATTTCTTCACCTGACCATACTACAACGAATAATGTTCGAACCGAAAATCAAGATAGTCCTGCAGCTCCTATTCAGGAAGCATCAGGTGCAGAGATAACAATTCACACTTCACATACACTGGAACCTATCGCGGTGACAACGATTGCCTTTCCTTCTACTGCGGTTCTAACATCAAATCAGACCGAGGATCACATGAGCTAGTCTTTAGATGAAGAATGATAAGTTTACACTTCTCGACGAAAGAAGGCTGGAGGCACACTCCAACTTGAAAATTTAATGGATGATACTTTAGTTACTCCTGATAATGACAAGACTCTTCAAAATTTGTTATCTGGCTCCGCTACTAAAACCAAAGAAAGAGGCAGAACTAAACTCACTCGTCCCTAGCTACTTGTTTTCTATATGTTTTAAATTTGTTTTACTTTTTATTGAGTCTATCTATATCTTTTTGTTGGCGTATTACTGTACTTGTATCGTATGGGTAGGGTGCCCCTTTTTGGCTCTCTCATAGAACCTCAATATATCATTTCTATTTCAATAAAATCAGCCCTTGGGGCTTTCAATATATATATATATATATATATATATATATATAAATAACTTAGAACCTGATCTTCCATAAGTGTAACAAAGCTGACAAGCTTCAACTTCAATCATATTTAAATACTAAATCCGATCCTTCATGAGTAGAATGAAAAGTTAACATATTTCAAATCAAGCAATGAAAATCCACGATAATGGTCAATTTGATAAAATATTTCAATCAGAAAGATCGTTTTTAGCTCAAATTCCAAATCAAATTATCAAAATAACAAATCAACACATTCAACTTAAAGTCATTCACCTAAGAAATTAAAATAAAAAAAAAATCAACAAAACAACTAAGTTAAAAATCAAACACTTAAGACTCAAAGCAAAATTCATCCACCTTCAACAATAATTTATTGAGGGTGACAAATTTCTGAATAACTTCAACTCACAAAGAACGAATGACGTATTGAGTGTATCACCTTTTTCACATTCAAAATAATCTCATGCCAGTAAGGACGTGACCCAAGTCCTCTATCCACATAGTTTTGTCATCAATAACACCACAAAGGAGAGGTTACGACAAAAACCCTCTGACCAGATGCTTGCCGCCAAATTACATCATCATATTACGGTTGTCACCGCAACTTGTATGTTTTCTAATGACTTTTTACCCTTTGAGTTACATGCTATAAATGTACAATTGATTGACACAAAGCCTTCTGTAAGCTAAAGTACACTTAAATTTGTCCCCTCAGACAAATAATAACCCCACAACACAACCCATAGTTGCTGATAAAAATCTTTCAGTTAGGTTGAGCCGACTACCTCCTCCAACTATATGGATTAGAGACCATGACGACACGGGATGACAAAACCATGAGATATTGATCGGATTTTGTCATCATTTCCCCCTCCATCAACTTTAAACTTCAAGTGATAGATTTTACAATTTAAAATGGCTCCGCTACTAAAACCAAAGAAAGAGGCAGAACTAAACTCACTCGTCCCTAGCTACTTGTTTTCTATATGTTTTAAATTTGTTTTACTTTTTATTGAGTCTATCTATATCTTTTTGTTGGCGTATTACTGTACTTGTATCGTATGGGTAGGGTGCCCCTTTTTGGCTCTCTCATAGAACCTCAATATATCATTTCTATTTCAATAAAATCAGCGTCTATTATTGTTATATACTGATCATTCAATTCTTAATGACTAGCCTTAATTGAAAGTGTTCTCCTCTTCTCCTCTTATTAAGATGAGCATAACCCTAAGGGCTTGCGCCTATGAGAAACTTCGAACCCCAAATCAGAAAGCCCTCGCAAAATGAGAGTGAAATTTCTGGATAGTGTCCTATCTATAATGTAATCCACTTATTGAAAATTTTGACCCTCAAAGCTCTCCCAACCATCAGAAAGCCCTCGCAAAATGAGAGTGAAATTTTTGGATAGTGTCCTATCTATAATCTAATCCGCTTATTGAAAATTTTGACCCTCAAAGCTCTCCCAACAACACAAACAAACAAACAAAACAAAAACAAAAATAACAGAGTCCGAGGAGCGGTCAGAGTTTTCAGAGCCCACATGTTAATTCATTTTCAGGAAAAAATTATAAAAAATACACTAAACAAATATGTTTTTAAAATAAAAGAGAAAAAAAAACAAAAACAAAATTGATTCCAAACAAGTCCTTAAATTGCTCAGTAAAAGAGAAATTACAAAAAAACATGCAAAATAAATTGTGTTCATCCTTAAAAAGAATTAAGGGAATTATTTAGCTCAAAATCTAGAAATTTCTCATTACCTTCCAAAACAAGCGGCCCAATGAAGAGCAGTTTTTCCGTTAGCATCTCGGAAGTTTATGCCAACGCCAGCATCAAGAATTGGTTTTAGAGCCCACTCATAACCCAAACCAGAAATCAAGTGGATAATTTGTTGCTCCTTTTTGGAAAGCAAACAGCTTCCACCTTCCTTTGCATTTGTCTTAGACAAGAGCCACTGCTGGAACTTATTTATTATTAATTCTTGTAGAATCAAATCTATAATGACTGAAGAAATCTCAGTTTGGAGTTCATGAAGTTTTAAACATTGCTCCTCTGCTGCCTTAAACTTTCTGCAGCACTCAGTTTCTCTTGGGCAAGAACCTTTGGCAACAGACAAATCATCAGATTGACATAAAAGGACATGAACGAATTTTACAAGCAACAAAGGCTCTTCAAGATTTTTGGTTGAATTGACAAGATGTAAGGGTTCCAAAGAACTCGTAACAGATTTGGCGCAGAACTTGAATTCTCGTTCTTCACTGCATGATTCTTTATCTCCAGATGTTACATAGAGAGGAACCTTTCCGACAGAGTGCTCAGGCGCCCAACAACGTAAGACTCCTTTCTGAATAATTTCTGCGGGAACTTGAACCTCACCAAACATTACTGCCCAACTATATGCTAAAGGATTGCATAGGAATTCTCCGGTGATGATAACCTGAAGAGAGTTTTTTATGCAATAATTTGAGTACAAAAGGAGAACTTGTAAGGAGAAAATAAAGTTTGTCTAAGAAAAGTGCGCTCAGATATAAATGATAATAAAAAAGTCTTGTGTTAAATGAAAAATAAGAGTTCCTAATATATTAACAGTGGCTCTAGATTGTTGGCTTAAGCTTAAGGTTGATAGATGCCTATGCATTATTTTCTTGGGCTTAACACGGGCTTCTGCTGATTCACTTCCCTATCATAGTCAAGCATGTTGTAAGAATGAACGGGATACTCCATGTATTCTTTATGTGGTACAGTGTGCTCTTGATGTATGATATTTGATGGATTTGATAAACTTTCATCCGAGGGTAAGTGATGGATGAAGACTCAAATAAAGAGATTGTTGAAATACAAATGAGAAAGCGAAGGAAAAAAAAAAAGATTCCTGATATATAGTAGAAACGCCTACCGATTCACTCATAGATGTTAAGAATGGGTACCCATCCATTATTTTATTAGGTTCAACTAGGCCGTCTAGTGATCCACCACCTCATAGAATGAAGCATTTTATTTAAAACAAATAATTTACTATAAGTCTATAGCATACGAGAATCATTTCTGGTGTACCATGCAAGCCATATTGTTTAGATTGGTAAAAAAATTTAGAATTCTAGGATGAGAATAGAATGAGTGAGAAAACAGATAGTCGCAAGAATCATTTCCCTCCCCTAGATGTACATGAAAAAGAGCAAGAGTTGCATCAAAATTTTTATGTTTACCATGCTAAGCATAGCCTAAGTATTCAATTCTAGAAAAGTACACACCCATCCATCCAAATGCATTGGCAAGCCAACAACTTATCATTTATGCTCCTCACCTTCCCAATGGAAGCCAACCCAATATCAACATGTACACAAACTCAGTTAGAATTTCTTTAACTTCACAATTCTGTACCAAGTTTTTGCCTCTTTGCTCTAGTGCATTTATTAACACAAGAAAAAAAAGGGATTTTCAAAGCATAAATTTAAATATATCACGTTTTAAAATATGATAGTGGGAAGAGCAATGGTAAAATTGCATTCATAACTAAATGGAGATGACAGTTTCAAATCATATAAACAACCTCTCTAAACTGAAGGATAATACTTCATACATCACCCTTCCCTAAACACATACTAGATGGCAGCCTCATGTATTGGGTACGCCTTATACTTTTAAATTCACAAGCCTGAATACTGGAGTAGGTGGTTAAACAGAGTATTATTAGTCATATTAAGCTTAAAAGCATAGAGAGTAAAGTGCCAGTTTAGTCCCAGTCTATAAAAGCATCAAAGTAGTCTCCATATACTTTTAATTAGGGCTAAAATAGTACTCGCTGTAACTATTTCAGCCTATATTTATATAGCATGGGATTAAATTGACACTTTTATAAAATTCGGAACTAAAATATCTCCCTATAAGGGTCAGTGAAATATTTTGACACTTTTAAGAGAATATACCTTGGTGCTCTCAAAAGAAAAGGACCATTCTGGGGAAATTTCACCAATCCTGAATAGTAGTTTCTGAGGCGTACTTATACAAAGTTCTTTTGCAAGGGGGGTTTCATGTTGGCTTTGATCAGCAGAATACATAACCAACAAATCAGAATAATATCCATTATTCCTATCCTGTATACCGATAGTACCCATGAAGTCGATGCCATTTTCTTTCTGGACTGACACTGCAATGGAGTTTGGTCCAACATCAGTTGTGTCTGGTGCGTCACACAGCTCACCTGCTGCCAGATCAGCAAGAGAATCAGGTGTCCCGAGACTATCTGAGCCTAAAGAAAACCTTATAGCCGCTGGTAGCGGCGAATTTATGTCAATTCCATAAGCCATATCTTCTGCAAAATTACCAGCATGGTCTGGATACCACAAATTAATTTGTTCCGATTGCTCAAATTGAGCATCAAATGAGTTGTCCTCTGAAAAAAATTGCTGCAGAATAGTTAAAAAAAATAATAATAAGATCAAGAAACTAAACCGTCAATTAAGAAAAAAACGCAACGCACAACCAATAAAAGCTACATATCCCTTTAAGTTCTCATAAAATATTAGATAAGTACATGCAGTTAAGTTTGCCATTGAATTGAGGTTTAAAAAATAGGTACATCCCCTTTTTAATTCTAGTGTGAGAGCCTTTGGGATTAATAAATTTATGAGAACAATTCTAAGGTTTTGGTTTGGTGGTTCAGATTAGGAAACGTGTTTTGAAAAACAAAGATTCATTAGACTCTATTATTTAGATGCAACTTAGAAATTAACAATGTACTCAAACTCTATAGATACCTTCAATATCTCTCCAAAGTAATGATTTCATTTTTCATGAAAACAAATATTTCTATCTACAAGCAACAAAATGAGCCCTAAAAATACTTCAACAATGAAGAGAGATGTCATCAATTGGTTATATGTTATGACCCAGTACGCGGCTTGAAATTTTCAAGACAGAAACATATGACTGAACAGTAAAATTAAACTAATTGTAAATTTTACCCCTAATAAATAATTCATCAAAAAAAAAACGAAAAAAAGTCCAATGAAATAAAATTTAAATCAACTTAAAAGTAAACATTTATGAATCTTTCATTAGCTTGTGTGCGTCTTTTATAAATATTTTCTCTTTTCTTGCTCATTTTCTAATTCAAATCTTAAATTTGAAATCTTAGTTAAAAATATAATGGGTTATCAACAGGTCAGTGAATATTCATATTCCTAAACTACAATAATTTTATAAAGAAAATAAAATAATATGCATGCTAGTCAAACATATTGAATCAACGTAACATAATTGACAAATTTATTATTCAATTGAAATAATTTAAAAGTGATCATAGCTAGAGAAGGCCTCCGTCAGTCAATCAAGCTCATGCAAATAACTATATAAGTCATCTAATTTAAATTCAACACGTCATTGCACATTTTATTATAATTAATTCTATGTAATATATATGATAAATAAGTAAATCATAAAAAAAAATTCATATCATTTGTTTCAATAGATTCAATCTATTTCTAATAGAGTTAAATCATAAACAAAAAATCGCAAAAATGATTAACAAGATAACAATCATTATTACATTAGAAATAGATGAAGTAATAATATCACCAGATTTTAGAACACGAGTATTCTCCACAACTTCAATGATTTACATTTAACTTTTTGTCCTTCGCTCCACTAAACTTCAAAAACATATAATTATACACATGGACATTATATTAAATTATTTCCTTTAAATAGTGCACATTTATCTTATGTCCTGATTTATTAATATTTTTATCAGATAAACTTTATTTATTACCCATATAGTGAGCTATTTAAAAGTCTAATTTCTATTTTCAACAAATTCTTATAAGAATTATCAAAATTAACTATCCTATTCAATTAGTATTCTTCATTCTTCATTCATTATTATTTTCCTTTTTACGCAAAAGTAAAAATTAATCCCAGAACCAATTAATTTCTACTAAAATTTAATAATTGCATGCAAAATTTAATTTAAAATTTCAAATAAACCATCCATTTATTAATTTCAAATTTATTCATAACTTAATATTACTTTTACATTGTAAAAAAATATCATCATGATTAGATTTATATCATTTTACTTTCATTATAATTATCTTGAATCATCAATTTAAAAAATATAAAATACAATATATAATCCTTGTAATTACAATAAATTAGTTAGTTAAATTTCAAATAAACCATCCATTTCTTAATTTCAAATTTATTCATAACTTAACATTACTTTTAAATTGTAAAAAAATATCATCATGATTAGATTTTTATCATTTTACTTTCATTATAATTATCTTGAATCATCAATTTAAAAAATATAAAATACAATATATAATCCTTGTAATTACAATAAATTAGTTAGTTTAAATTAAATAGAACAATTTCAATATTAAATTTTTCACATGATTTTTTTGACATAAATCTCTCTAAATCATTATAATTTTATTATTATTATTATTATTATTATTATTATTATTATTATTATTATTATTATTTAAGAATATTTGAAATATATTAACTATAATTTGAATTTACCTTTCCTAGATTCCAAGAAAAAATACTGATGCCCTACTTGCTTGCGGTCTACATGGCACACCCTCACTTGCATATGCAACCTTTCTTGTAATCAACATGAATCTCCCAATCACATGCCCATACACATTGTCTTCCCCTCTGCACGTATTAAGTATGACTATTTGCTGTTTGCATGAGTTCTCACACAAAATCTACACATTACTTGCTAGAGCTTGAGAACCTTTTCTTTCTCGCTTGTGTCTGCTCAGCCGTAGAGGAAGTCACTTTCTCCTCTCAGATTTTGCACCTCTGCTCGGTTCATCATCATCATCCCTTGTTCTGCCTTTCTTACTCGATTATTGGCACTCACGAGCAGCGACAGACAAAATCAAGAAAATAGAAAGGAAGGGCATTGAGCCGAGCTCAATTATGCAATTTGCAGATTTTATTCAAGAGAACTCACATGAATAACAATTAGTTAGAATTTAATGCATGCAGAGGAGAAGACAACAAGGATGAGTACATGATTGGGGAGTCGTGGAGATTACAAGCAAAATAGGGAACGCGAGCGAGTACTATGTGTCGTGTCAATAGCGAGCAAACAAAAACATCAATAATTTCTCTTAGGATGTAAAAAAAATAAATCTACATTTCAAAATTTTCTTAAATAATAATAATAATAGTTAAATTAATAATAATAATAATAACAACAACAACAACAACAACAACAACAACAACAACAACAACAACAACAACAACAACAA